AAAAAAAAAAAAAAAGATAGGTTGAGACAGTAATGTGATTTAAGATGAGAGCAAAGAGAAAGCATGAATGGTACCCTCGGAGTAGTCCAGTCGATTCATCCACGGTATCCATAGCTTCCCAAAGAAGGCCAAGTGGAACCCAGTGAGGAGGATACTTAAACCTTGCAACATCTAAGATTAATGCCATGTCCCTTCCAGCATGATATCCACCAATAGGTGAAAAATGACCTGTTCCAGTCTGTCATAAAATATAATTTAGTTTGATAACACTTCTATGAATAGGTTAATCAGCGAAAAATTAAATTGAATGTATGAAACAACACAGATTTGAAGAAAAATATAGCCAAACAAAACAAAACAAACAAAAATCAAGAAATGATAACATTTGGGATTGCAGAGATTCACAATTTTTATAATATTTTATAAAAGCATGGCTAAGAATATAGCAGTTATGACTTGATGAGTGGTACCAAATTTATAACAGTTACTTCACAATAACTCAACATGTCTACATCAAAACATAGGATAAAAACTAAAAATAAAAGAGAAGAAAAATGAAAGTCCACAAGTCTCGATATTAAGCTGCGAGAAGAAAAGTGAACAACTTATCTTACGACTGCAAAAATTATTAACAAAGAAAAACAAACTGCTCAAACATTTAGAAGGTAACCCAAGATTAGCTCTACATAGTATGAAAATTTCTGTGCCCCCTATCCTATAGATCCGTCAACGCCAATCTAACAAAACAGAGTCACTTTACACTTTGCATTTGCTCAACAGAACAAATAAATGAAGTAACAAGTGAGAAAGACTTCAGCAAGTTGAAAAACAAGAACATATTATCTGGTAGGGAGCAGTAAGGAAGCAAGAAAATTCAAAATGCCTTGGTAGTATTTATAAATTTGTGAAAATAAGGGATAAACCTCGCTGTGGAAACATTTAAATCAATGTACGTACGAGTACATGACCAAGAAGATAGAAGTTGACCTGCTTAAATGCTCCTCTGTGATATGACGAAATCACATGACAATCATCTGAACTTGAACAAGCCATAATATATTTCCTAAAATCATCAATGGTACTCTGATTCGTACGAAAAGCTTCAACGTTAGCTCCAGCACAATGCGCCAGGCATACTACTTTACCAAATGAGATGCCTTTATCCTTCACCTTCTCCAGAGGCTCACAACAATCCAACATATTTTCATCAAACCATCTCCAAGGCCCTGAATTGCACTTCTAGAAGAAACTTAGCACCGGAAAAATATGTGTATATGCATATCAACAACCTCTAGAAAGAGAAAAAGAGAGATATATTTGAAATGAAAATACTGAAAAGAACTATCAGCAGTAAATAACTATGCACTATGCAAGGCGCATGAAATCCCTCTTTAGTCACACTACCCTTGTCATTTTTCTGGTAAACAATGTTTGGGACAAGTTGAAAATGTTGGGCTATCCCATCATTCTAATCACCCTAAAGTTAAAGTAAATCTCAGTCATAATATCTTCATTCAAACCAATTGAGGGTAACAAAAGGTAGCAAACATGTATTTACAATTGAAAAGCTCTAACTCCATTAAGTCGGAGTTGGATTTCACCACCACAACCACCCAAAAAAATGAAAAAAATAAATAAATAAATAAATAAATAAACAAAGAAAGAGCATGCAAAATGAATTTGATGAAAAAAAAGAATAGACATTAACTCAGCTTCCCGATTTTTGTTGTTCTTCCGAACCTGCCAATACCTTAAGGTCATGACAACATCTTGAATTTCAGAATCAAATTGAAAAAGTAAATAAACTTTCCTCTAGAGTTTCAACTGACAAACAAAGACAAGTTTCCTTGAAAATTCATGATGCCGGATGGTTCAAATACTTATGAGTAACAGAAAATTAAGTTACTTGCGAACAACATAAAAATGACTTATACTTCACATATACCTTTCCATTTTCTGCCAGGATCAATGGCAAGGGCGTTCAAGACCATTGAGAGGCTAGCCAAACCACAATATGCAGGTTCAGATTGTGTCTGGAAATAAGAAATCAATTTAAAGAAACCTTCCATGGTCCCATTGTGAATGGCCTCTGTGAAGAGTTTCTGCAGTATAAAAAAAAAAAAAAAGGTTAGTTACTTGAACATGTTATTGAAAGATATTCAACTTAACGTGTTTCAGATGCATTCATGTGCTCATGGCTCAAACGAAAATATAGTGAAGTCCTTTAAATGGTCTACAGCCACTCCTGAAGATGATTCGACTAGCAAATATGTGTAACGATTTGCAGATCTCTTGTTACAGCTCAAAATTAAACTTGTTCCATGTAGGGCGTATGATGAAGCTGAATGAAAGATGCATAAAATCAGCCATGAAATTAAGCCAATAAACAGCCAATATGAAACCCAACAAGAATCCCGAGATAATCTACAGCACATGTGCCGAGTGCACAATTCATAAACCAATGTCATCAAATTCGGTCCCATTTGCCTACCATCACTCTAAATTTCCTCCTGTCCATATCCTTAGAATCGATCAAGTTTTCCTTTTTATTTTTTTTCGTTTTTTTGCAGCACACAATCACTTCAGCTTCAAATTAAAGAATCACAGCATATTTTTTTCAAGCTTCAATATTAACGGGATTTACCTTGCCTTCGGAAGACGCGAAATCGACAGCTGGAGGAGTAGGGAGAATACGCCTGTACAAACCCGCCATCGCCATCGTCGTTCAAGCTTTAGGGTTTCGCCAATTAACTTAGCTCCCAAGAATGTGAAATTATGATTATATCTACGCGGGTTGCCATTAGTTAAAACTGTTTCAAAAAGTATGGCAGGGTGGAGAGAGAAGAGCTTGCTTACAAAATATTTACTCAATTTAAATCATACTCAATATCTAACAACTCAATTCAATTAACTTTAATATTATTCATATAATTTGGAGGACGATTTGGATGATATGATGTGAAAATACATTTTCGTGCGCATTTTCTACGACCTCGGCTTGGGGAAAGTACGACTAGGTGACCGGTCAAACTTTCTCTTCGGTGCTGTCAAAGAGATTTATGGGAAAAACTTGTTCGTTATTGATGATTAGAGAGGGCTATATATATAGCTACTAGTTACAAGACCTAATTACAACATAAAGAAACTCACTAATTACAACATATCAAATATTCACATAATATACTGCAATATACAAATATGATAACACCCCCCCC